AAATAAAAAACAGTTTAACTATAGCTCCCGTGAATTTCAATGGTGAATTCCTCTCGAAATCTTAAAAAATAGTTGTTGATTGCAGATGTGTCTATTAGTTTCCATTGAATTTGCTTGTTAAGCGGGGAGAATGACGTTTGGCTTACAGCACCGCAACGTCACTGATGGAAGATGTCAGGAGTGAGGTGTTACTATATTTGGGCAAAAATGGCCGGTCCCAGACTCAGTGATCGTGATGAAAATTATTGTTTTTGTTTTTATTTTTTTTACTAATTAATGATAAATTCATTAAAATCACCACAAAAGTAATAGTTTTAGGTATAAATAATGATCCATTGATTATTCCTTGCTGACTGGACTTTTCCTTTATGTGATAAGATTGAATGGAGCATGGCTCTCAAGAGCAATTTACTGTCAACCAAAATATTTTAGGATGTAATTCGTCTCAATGCAAAAGAGGGATCTTCCATCCATCCACAAACACACCACACCCAGAATCCTACATTCACAGCAGGATTAAACACTTGGCTTTCAAATCTTTGTCAGGGCATGTTATGTATCATTTGTCCATTCCTGTAAAGAAAAATGATCATAGTTTAAAACGGTTGGATTTTGCACGCAGTGTCTCTTTGGATCTTGGCCTGGAGCCGTGGCAGATAAAATAAAGCATAGTATGAAGCTTAATAAAAACGTTTACATAACAATCTTGGATTGCTTTAAAAATTACATTGACTAGTAAAATCACTGTTTTATCCTATTCTTGTTTACTGCCTACATAAACAAACCTAGTAGCTTTACTTAAACTTCAGCAACATTAAGGTTAAATATGACAACCAAACAGATGATGGAAATTGACTGCAGAGACGTTATTGAACAAATACTAAGAATGCATGTCTTTATACATCAGGAGGCTATATAGGAACCGAGACTTTTGAAAAACTTAAGGCAAACTTAAGGTATGTGATGTAAGGTTCATAAAATGTATGTTTTTGCAAAAGAAGAACTGAAATACACAATTATGGATACAATTTCTGCAGAAAGGAGAGACAGTTGAACCCCAGACTCAAACACACTGTCTCCCACTGGACCCTTGTGGGTCCAGAGGCAGTTGGCAGACCGAGGGCTGAGGGCTAGCAGAGGTTGAGCTGAGTGCAGGCAGGAGGAGAACTGAGAGCTTTGCAAAGGCAGTCTGAGTGCTGTCAGGCTGATTCCTGATGAGCTCTCCCTCCCTCTTGAGAGCTGGGCACAGACGTCAGAGTGCAGGCGGGCAGATTCCAGGCTTGGCTCTCTCTCTCTCTCTCTCTCTCTCTCTCTCTCTCTCTCTCTCTCTCTCTC